TAGGATCAGATCCCTGAAGGAGACATACTGAAGCCGCAGTTGAGGGAACAGAAAGCATGCATATCATCAGCTTTAAAAATAGCGAACATTAGGCAGCATAAGGAGTATCTCCTTCGAGCCTCATAAACCCATTTTACAGATGAGAAAACTGAGAGGTTAAGTACAGGTTATTTTGTACTTAGGCTGCATTTTATTCAAAGTATGCTGTGTTCAAGACCATTCATAATTCAAAACAAACCCTTACAAAGATTGGCCGGTATTTCTGCATAGCAGTTAGATGGGTCTTAGCATTTGGCAATGGACCAAAATGCCAGTTTAAAGGTCACTCAGCCAGACAGCTTTGAAGTTATGCTATTTTTTGACACAATTTAAAAAATGAATTCCCATTTATTAAAAATTTTGCAAGTAAAGTGAGACTTGATTAATATTTCAATGTGTGGAGCTAAAATTTACATAAAATGGCACTTTACTATAACTTGTTCTAGATCAAGTCATACTATTGAATCTGACTCCAAACTTATATGTGATGTAAAATACATTTCTATAAAATTCTGTGTTGTTGCTTGTTATTGGAGAACTAGTGAGCCTAACTGGAGGTTGGGGTGGGACAGATATACCCCCTTGCCACCCGTGAGTCTAAAATGATCATCATTGCTACATGGACAGTGGAGGCTGCCAACGCCAATTTTTGAAATGGTTTATCCGTGGAATCAAGCTGTAGTTGGTGTCAATCAAGAACACTCTATTTAGACATTGGAGTGGAAATCCTGGACTTTCATTTTTCAACTTTACCTTTGGGATTGATGAGATCTGGTTGTTTATGAAGTCAGCTTACCAATAACTCTAATAGAGCAACTGTTTTCTTTTCCGCTTGTAGCATTTGGGGAGCACATTTTGTTACTTGTATTTGGCTGTTAAAGTTTATATATCTGTGTGTATCTTCAAAGAACATACACATTTCCTGCCTGAACGTGGCCGCCACAGTGTCTAGAGTACATTTCTTTGGTCTGGAGCCAGCCTGGGAGCCTGGGAGAGGTTCATCCCTCAGCTAATTTTCCTTTGGCTACAGAGCTGTGGAGAGGCCTCTAAGGTTGGTGGGAGGGGGTCCACATTGGGGTCAGAGGAAGGAATGGGGAATGCATAAGGGGATATGTGGATTAATGTGCACATCCAACAATAGAACTATCAGGCCATCAGGGGAGGGCATTGGGGGCAACCAGGCTGGCAGGGCAGTTGGGGGCAAGATCAGGCCTGCAGGGGAGGGCCATTGGGGGTGAGATCAGGTCAGCAGGGGAGGGCAGTTAGGAGCAATCAGGCAGCCAGAGGCAGTTAGGGGTGAGATCAGGCCAGCAGGGGAGGGCAGTTGGGGGCAAGATCAGGCCTGCAGGGGAGGGCCATTGGGGGTGAGATCAGGTCAGCAGGGGAGGGCAGTTAGGAGCAATCAGGCAGCCAGAGGCAGTTAGGGGTGAGATCAGGCCAGCAGGGGAGGACAGTTAGGGGTGATCAGGTAGGCAGGCAGAGGCAGTTAGGGGAGATCAAGCAGGCAGGCAGATGAATGGTTAGGAGCCAATGGTCCCAGATTGCGAGAGCGTTGTCTGACTGCCAGTTTAGGCCTGATTCCACCCCCTCCCCCTGTATGAATTTCGTGCACCGGGCCACTAGTAGAACCATAAGACTATGTAGTATATGGGTTAGTAGATCACACTGACATTGAAAATATTAATCCAGTCAGGAAGTTTTGACAAATACAAAGTCTTTAATAAATGAGACATCTTCCTGATTGGTGTCAGTGTCATTGCTTGGCCTATTTGTCACAAGATAATTAAAGTGCTTTGGCTCTGTTGGTCTGAAGCATTCTCCTCCTTTACATACTCTAAATCCTTCCCCGAGCTTGATGAGGTTTAGATAGCAGCTCAGTTGACCCAATCAGTTTCCGGGGTTTGTTCCTGCCCTGTGCACAAATTGGCACAGAAATGAGTGACTCGTTAATGACGTGATTCTTGCTTTAGAAAGCATCCTAAGCCTCCTGGTTTTAGACTGTGCCAAAGACCAGCAAATAGCTAGGAATGTGTGCAAGCCAAGACCCATCTCCTATGGCTGTTATCCAGAAAACACTGATAAAATTGGCTGTATGAAGTTTCAACAGGCCCACTGAGGCCCACCGTGATTTCCTTCCATTGTTTTGGACTTGATACAGTGGCTGCAGGAACCAGGAGAAAGGGTGAAGATTCACTCTGGCCAGAGAAATTCTCTGTTCCTCTCCCTTGAGCAATCAGATACTTTGCTGACACTTAGAGGTTTTGTCCAACTGGTAAGTCCCCTGGAATGTGCTGCTCGCTCTTCTTCTGTGTGTGTTTTACAGATGCAGCAATTCATAAAGGATGTGCTTTTATGAGTTGGTATCTAATTTTTCAATATTTGAGTCTAAGTTGAGCCCTGAGATAGATGTGCACTTCATAATGCCCTGAAGAACTCTCTCTCTTGCTTTTGGGGGGTTGATGCTTAGATTTAGTCTTAGATCTTCTTGGACTGTCAGAGGCATGTAACTCAAGCCCCTCTTTATGGAAAAGAAACCAAGCCTGGAATCACACAAATAGTTGCAACTAGTGTGAACTAGGTGGCGGGCATCCAGACTATTGACCGTTGCCCTGGAGTTGAGCTGTTTGAGAATAGAAGCTTATGTAGCATTGATGGAGCACTTTTTCTTTTCAGGGCTTCACGGTGGGGAGATGCTGAGATAGTAGGGAATGCAGCTTATAATTATTTGTAGCTTAAATGACTTTCATTTTTGGCTCAGTGGTGGCTCTTATAATCCTAATAGCTGCTTCCAGGGATGGGTAATTCACTTGTCATTACTGGCGAGTTCATTTATCTCTCCTTCCCCAGTGAGGCCCATCGTTTCTGTTTGCTGCCAGCCACCTTCCCCCAAGCCATTCTTTGCTTGGTGGTACCATCATTTGTTAAATCTTGATTGTAGTAGTCTCAAAATATTTCACCTTCTGAAAGATGTTCAAGCTAACAGCCTAACTTTATCTCTAAGAAGACATTGCATTGACCTTTTCGATGTTCAAAGGGTAGGGGATGGGGATCGCTAGCTGCATAAGGATATAAAGTTTGATAGATATGGTGATTTTAGCTTTAAGATCACCATAAAGCCAAGTTACCTTCAGTCTTATTATTGTCCCAGAGGTATGGTTTTTTATTAAGTCAGTATGCCATGTGTGCGAAGTCTTTCAAGCTACATGCCTAGTTTATGCCTTCATGTTACCACTGGTAGTGACTTGGCACCCATGGCATTGAAGCTGATTCATTGAGTGCACTAGCACATTAGTTTGGGCCTCTATCCAACAGATTGTTTTAGCAATATAACAATCCTGCCATTTATAAGAGAAAGTATGAACTGGATTGCTGTATGTATATTGGAAGATAGGTTTTAAAAATGACAGAAATTTATAATGATTCAGGTAAAATACATACATACTCTTTGGAGGAAAGAGTCATTCACTAATTCATTCATTTATTTATACCTGCTTTTAAACAGACACCTCTATGTATCAGGCACTGTTCTAGGTACTAAAAATACATCAGTGACCGAAACAGGAAAAATATCCCTTTTCTCATCTTATGTTGCCAGCTCCAGTATCTTCTCTGCATCTATCTCATCTCTATAAAATATTTTAGGAATATGTCAGTGTCTGTGAAAAGAACTAGCATTTTGCACTTTGCCTATGTTTTTCTACTCCTTGTTATAATTTCTCCATAGAACAATTATAGGTTTGTTACCCTCTTAACAGTAATTCTCAGGAGAATTTATAGTAACTTAATAGTAACTTTCAATAAAGTTTTTAAATATATTTTTATTGATTTTTTACAGAGAGGAAGGGAGAGAGATAGAGAGTTAGAAACATCGATGAGAGAGAAACATCGATCAGCTGCCTCCTGCACACTCCCTACTGGGGATGTGCCCGCAACCCAGGTACATGCCCTTGACCGGAATCGAACCTGGGACCTTTTAGTCCGCAGGCCGACGCTCTATCCACTGAGCCAAACCGGTTCTGGCTTTCAATAAAGTTTTTAGTATGACTTTCTGCTTTATTCCCACACTTGGTTGATACAGGTAGCACTTGGGAAAAGGAAGAGAACTTAAGGTTATCATCTGATTTGGTAATTATCAGTAGAAAGAAGACAAACATTGAGAAACATAAGCTGGGTGTCTGTGGCTTTTTCTAGGAATCAGGCTGACTGGTTCTATGCTAAAAAGTTAGGACACAGCTTCCCATTGACCCTTCCCTTTTCCTTTTGTCCTATGCATTTTATTGAGCAAGACTGACCCTTTTCTCCAAGATATTTATAAATACAAATATCTTTTTAAAAAATATATATTTTATTGATTTTTTACAGAGAGGAAGGGAGAAGGATAGAGAGTTAGAAACATTGATGAGAGAGAAACATCGATCAGCTGCCTCCTGCACACTCCCTACTGGGTATGTGACCACAACCAAGGTACATGCCCTTGACTAGAATCGAACCTGGGACCCTTGAGTCTGCAGGCCGACGCTCTATCCACTGAGCCAAACCAGTTAGGGCAATACAAATATCTTGAGCCCTAGTTCTAAAATCTGTGTGAATCAGGGGCACTTGCTAAACAGGCATAATTCCATACCTAGTGATTCTGATTTTGTGGGTCTAGGGGGGAAACTGCTATTTTAAAACGGATTGAAGAGAGGTGGGCATCCTAATGAGATGTATATGGGTTACATTCTACAACCATGGAAATATTGTTGAACCACTTTCTACTGGGCTGAGCCATAGGGATAACTTAGCCTTTAAATCTTGTATGCTGAAAAGTCCAAATTTATGTACTGTGTGTGCACTCAAGAAGCCAGCAGCCACCTATCGATGTCACATAGTACCCAAGGAGACTGTGTTACTCAACTGCTCACTAGTGGGAGAAGATTGTCTCAGCTTTGTTAACCGTCTTTCTCGGGGTTTCTTCGTAGGCAATGGTGGCTTGCTACCCAGGAAATGGAACAGGTTATGTTCGACATGTAGACAACCCCAACGGTGACGGCCGCTGCATCACCTGCATCTACTATCTGAACAAGAATTGGGATTCCAAGGTACTTGGAATAATGGGAATAGAGTGTGGGGTTAGAAACTAAAGGAAAAGACGGGGGAGAGATCAACCAAAGGACTTATATGCTAGCATATAGGCCTAACCAATGGACACAGACAACAGGGGGTGAGGGCATGAGTGGGGGGATGGGGGTAATGTGGGGATAAGGACACAAATGTAATAACTTAATCAATAAAAATTTTTTTTAAAAAAAGAAAAGAAGGCAGATGACTTAGAGGAGAGTTTGGAGTTCATAATTCCCACAGATGCATCTTTTCTTTTTCAATCCCCTCCCATACCCCAGGGTACTAAAGTTGGGATGAAAATAACAGATATCAAGTTAATGTTACGGGAGTAGGTAGAGTCATTCTTAGGATATGGAAGGAGTGCTTGATGAAGAGAGGGTAATTTGTTATTTTAGGGATCAATGTTTTTAGTGTAATCCAGAGCTGATGGGACTCTCAGTGCGGAATAAGATGTACACTTTTCTCTTCTAGCAGCAACATTGAGAGAATTTCACAAAAATAGAGCTGTGGGATAGAAACCTCCCCAAGCGAGGCTTCCCACACAGCCCTCTCTCGGGGTGATACATCTTATTGGTGGCTGCCTGCCATGGCTTACTGCGGTTTGGGAATGCCAAAGGCTTTATGATTTATTTTTGTTTTTCTGAACATATAGATAGAAAGAGATAGGAAGTCTGGTTCCACACGTACAGACGTTTGTCTGGAATGTGTATGCCTTCTGAGAGTTAAGGATGATTTAGGAGTCTGAGAAGTCAGAACTTTTTAAGCTTGTTTAGCTTTTGTACCTTCTGCACCTCCATGTCCTGCTCATTAGGGCAGCTGCTGGCTGTCGCTGGGCTAGGACATTTTATCTGGGGTCAGAAAAACCAAACCTGGGAAACCAGTGGCTCAGTGGCAAGGCTCATCTCGTCTCCCTGTTGGGAAACATGATTAGAATTCACCCCTTGATTGTCCTTTAAAAACTTGAAAGGTGGTGTTACAGGCAAGCAAGTAAAGTTGTCAGGTCAGTGATAATAAATTGTGAAATATGAAATCATTCAACAAATAGTGGAGTGCCTGCTAGTGCCAGGCATTGTGTTGTGGGAAACACTGAAGTGTGAGGCCTGCATTCTACCCTGCTATGGTTTTTCTAGTAGGACAGATTGGGCAAACACGTAAAATGAAAAAGTAATTTAATGAAAAGAGAGATACATGTAGTAAAAGGTACAGATAAGGCGATCTGAGAGTTTAGGGAAAAAAAGCATGTCACTTCCAACTAACAAAGTCATATAGGAGCAGAGGAAAGCTGTAAATTCTAATTGAAGGGGAATGATTATTATGTGGGACGACTATCCTAGGAAGCTGTTAATATTAGATTGAACCATACGAAATTGCTGGGGGTTTTTTTTGTAGGTCAAAATCTGTCGTATATTGGTGATCTGTATGATTGAACCCAATAGAACTCCATTTTGTGTCCATGGGCTTCATGAGTGGGGGGTGGGAAGGCTTCCTTTGGCATGAGGTCAATAAGGAAATAGCTCTAGTCAAGTTTGAAATAAACTTTAATACAAAGTATGAGGCCGAAGTAAAAATGTAGGAGTCATATATTCTTAGAGTGGAGATTGGAAGATGGCTTTGTTTTTAAACAAGTCTTAAATATCATTGTTAATTAAAGATGTATGAGGCCAGAAAATAATCCTCCTTCTTTGTGGCCCTTAGCTACACGGTGGGGTCCTGCGGATATTTCCAGAAGGGAAGTCATTCGTAGCAGATGTGGAGCCCATTTTTGACAGACTCTTGTTCTTCTGGTCAGACCGCAGGAACCCACATGAAGTCCAGCCTTCCTATGCAACCAGGTAAGAGCCAGGGCCATGAGTCCGCGTGAGTAGTTTCTTGTACAAACACCAGTTCCTGGAGAATTCTCTAAACTTGTGTCCTATGCAGAGGAGGGAGTAACCACACCCAAAGCTGATAGCAAACCTGTTTGGAGTCCATTTTAATTTTTCTTAAAGTGGAAGCTTTGGATTCTTTTTAAAAAAAAATACTTTTATTGATTTCAGAGAGGAAGGGAGAGGGAGAGAGATATAGAAATATCAATGATGAGAGAGAATCATTGATAGACTGCCTCCCGTATGCCATCCACTGGGGATCGAGCCTGCAACCTGAGCTGAGCATGTGCCCTTGACCGGAATCAAATCCGGGAACCTTCAGTCCACAGGCCAATGCGCTATCCACTGAGCCGAACTGGCTAGGGCGCTTTGGATTCTTTAGTATCCAAAACCTAACGTGGGTTTGAACTATTAACAAATTGTTTTCCATTAGGTGAGCATATTGGATTCTAAATTTCCCAGAGTGTTTGTCTCTTCTGTCCTTTCTTCCCCACTCCTTTCAAAAACCTAATGTTGAACTGCTCCCCGAGAATGTTGGCTGTCACACCCAGGAATTCTGTGTGGTCAACTCTGGATGTGTTTATGAGTTGCCAGTTAAAAGCAGAGAAAGAATCTTGTGAAAAGAAAGAGGAATTTGTTTTGACTTATATTCTTTTTTTAAATCATTTTCTTAGCATAAAATTGGTTTGGGCTCACTGTTCCAATCAGATCCCAACAATTGGATGTAAAATATTAAAATAATCATGTCCTTAGATCATACATGGGAAGATTTTCAGAGTAACTGAACAACTTAGCACTGTTTAGTATTAATCTACAAACTCTTGATACAATCTTAATTTTGGATTCTGCCTTTCATTTGCTGTTGTTTTATGGTTGACACTGTAAATCAGGCAGTACTAGAAGTGCTGTGAGTTGCAGCTTGAATTGGGAATAGCAGCTCTGGGCAAGGGGTGAGAACATGGGTAGAAGGATATTGACTAAACCTTAACAAGCCTAATTAAATGAAATTCATTGAATTAAATTCACACAAGTAAAGTTCTTAAGATTTATGTGTCCCCCTCCAGAAGTCACAGAGCTGAGCCCCACACAGAGTCACATATTAAATGTCAAAGTGGAATGTGCCCTAGGTGAGCAGGTAACTAATTCTACCACCAAAGCCTGCTTGTGGCTTGTTTAATGGGTACAATAATTGGACCCTGTGGCTTGTGCCAGAATTCCCTTGTTATTCCACAATCCCTTGATGGCTGGAGTCATAGGGAACATTAGCGAACGTTGATGGGAAGCCCTTGAAGAAAATCAAGTGCTATAGAAATTTGAGTAGCTAACAATAGCTATAAAATGAAACTTTGAAAACTCATGCATGAAGCAACTCCTATTCCAGTCTAGCCCATAGATGGGATAAAGCTTATTAATGAGAATGCAGTAGAAAGCTTGAGGGCATCATTATTCCATTGCATCTTTGCCTCGGTGTCCAAAACTAAAGAAAGACAGCCAAGAGTTTTAGGTGTCCTGTCATTTAAATGAGTTATTCTTCAAAGCTTCACTCAGGTGTCACCTCTTCTTCCCTGTGCTCTCCCCACTAAGTTGGGTCTCCCAGTCTTTAGCAGGATGATTCCTTTCTAGTCCTTTCTGTGTAGATCATTACACGGCCTGTTACAGTATTTGTTAATTGCCTGTCTCCCCACTAGGGGTTGAGTTCCTTGAAGAAGAAGCAGATATATTCACATGATCATTTGAACTCCCATTGCCCACATTGATGCCTGGTGCATACTTGGAATTCCTTACACGTTTTATTACATTTAAATAGAATTGAAACCAGAGAAGTTTATTTTAAATTAAAATTGGAATGGATTTCTAAAAATAGGGGACATTTTAAATGTTGGCTTTATAAATGACTCCGAAGGGGGATTGTACTATGCATTTTTATTTTTTGGTAGTAATTTTAAATCTCTTTTCTTATATCTGCTTATCTTTCACAGATATGCTATGACTGTTTGGTACTTTGATGCTGATGAAAGAGCAGAAGCCAAAAAGAAATTCAGGAATTTAACTAGTATGTATTTGATAATTTTCTGTGACTTTTGATCAAGTCAATCTTTGACTTTAATTTTTAAAAAAATATTCTCATCTACTCTGTTCATTCTCAGCTGTGCCTTAGCTTCATATATAATGACATCTGATAGGCTTAATCCTGAAAGCCTAGCCTTAGCTGTGCTGGGAAAATCAGAAAAATGCAAAGGACATCCTTTGTGAATGCCTACTTTTGCCTGAGAGGTTATAATTGATGGGAAATTGTTAACTTTTTATTATTAATGTTCACCCATCCAGCATAACATTAAATATTGCCCATGATTTTGTCACATTGCAAAGGAAACATGATGGAACCCAGATAGAATGGTTCATTTATTGATGTGACACTGTGACTCCCAATATAGAAACTGGGCTCATATAATATAAACTGAATATGACTTAAGAACTGTCCCCTCAGTACTGTAAAGCAGCATTTCCCCAAATACATTGTACAGAAACACTAATCCTGCTAGTCTTGCCAAGGTGGTTTATGAGAAGGTAAATTCCTGGGCCCTACAATATGGGAAATGTTACATATCGTATTCCTCTCTTAAAGAGTCACAGTGCCATTGGCATATTAACCAAGAAAAAGTAATCTAAGAAATCCTGCAGTAAAGGCATATGTAATATTGCCTAACTCATGACCTATTTGGACTATATGCCTATCAAACACCTAAGAAAACACATTTTGCTAAACTCTATCAGGAGGCACTCTGCTCAATTTTGTTCTGTAAGATGGGAAGTATTTACTAGAGCTTTTTGGATGACATTTGTGATATAAAACTCGTCGGATCTGACTCCTTACCCTCTTCATTTTCTTTTTTGTCCCTAATCCAGGGAAAACAGAGTCTGCCCTCACTGAAGACTGACTGTGTGCTCTGAATCCGCTGGCCTCATTCATTTTAGCAATGGTTTCTGAATTCTCTTTAAGAGTTGAGACCCACAGAAGGCCTCTTCAGTGAATTGGTGATGTGCAACCCCCTCCTGCTTGCATCATTCACATCCCTGTCTTGCGAATGGTACTTTGTGTTTTCTTGCCAAGACTGCATCCATCTTCAGACACTCTCTTTGCCAGATGAACTCATTGTCTAACTCTGAAAACACCTGCAGACGACCTCTCTTGCCAGCGGTTTAACCGATAGATTTGGTAATACTGTCTATCAAACAAGAGCCCAGAAGCATGGGCGAGGGAATAAATCTTATTTGCACTTTATGTACACTTCCTGATTTGAAAGGAGGAGGCTTACAACGAAGAAAAAATGGTGACAGGTGCCACAGAGGGGCATCATTGAAGCCTTTGACAGCAAGAAACAGGAATCTGTGCCACCTGAACAATTTCCAGATGTTTCTAATCCAGGGCTGTTGGTGTTTCTGGAGAATTATCACAACCTAATGACATTCTTACCTCTAGAAAGGGCTGCTGTCTCAGTCACCCATTTATAAGTGTCCTGTGGGTAGATACTCCTTTTTCCTTGTCCTACAACCTGGACTTTTGGGTTCTGCCTCATTTTACTGAACATATGACTTTCTGATTAAAAAAAAAAAAAGGCAAACCAGGTGTTTTCTATTTTCACTTCTTACTTGGGGAACCTAGTTCCTCAGAGGCAAAATCTAGACATTAATTGTTTGATTGCTTTGTTGAAATGGAATTTGAATTTAAAGCAAAGGGGAAAGATGTACCTGGTAGTTTAGTGTCAGCAACCTCTGATACTGGTGTTGAAAGATCTGGGCCTACAGATATACAACAAAGTGTGTGCATCATGAACGTTTTGCGAGCGAGATAGCGTTAGAAATGTGGACATTCTCATTCTTCAGTTTCCTTTTAAATGCACTCACCCTTCTTTAACAAAATAAAATAATTTTTAGAAACAGGGTGCTGTATTTTAAAAAAGGAAATGGAAATAAAACAAATGTCCTGAAAAGCTTGGTTGAGTTCTCTCATGGTTTCTGTCCCGAGTTGCCTTTTTCAACAGACTGGACTCTGCAGACCCACTGCGGTGGGCAGTGTGGAGAATTGTGGGGCTTGCTGGAACTACTGCAGTAAGCACTGACCCTTGGAGGACTTTGCGTCGAGTGTCTGCTCTATGAAAGTTACTCTTCCTAGTTTTCAATTCCATTTTCATAATTTAAAAATCATTCAATTATTTGCTTGAAAATCCCATGAACTTTAAAGGGCCAGGAATATTTTCTTTGGCCATTTACAGACTTAGCAAGAAACAAGCTTATTTTTTTTTCTTTTCTGGTTTTAGAAAATTTCTAGCTAAAACGTGTCTTCATTCTCACAACTGCTCTCTTTTTTTCATGGTACTTACCACCTTCTAACTTACTATGTCATTTTCTTATTTATTGTGTTTATTATGTTGTATCCTCCCAGTAGAGCAGTGGTTCTCAACCTTCTGGCCCTTTAAATACAGTTCCTCATGTTGTGACCCAACCATAAAATTATTTTCGTTGCTACTTCATAACTGTAATGTTGCTACTGTTTTGGATCATAATGTAAATATCTGATATGCAGGATGGTCTTAGGCGACCTCTGTGAAAGGTTGTTTGACTGCCAAAGGTGTCGCGACCCACAGGCTGAGAACCGCTGCTCTAGAGTGTAAGCACAAAGAAGACAGGGATTTTTGTATGTTTTTAATCAACGGGATGTATTCCCAGCACCTAAAATAGTGCCTGACACACAGCAAGGACTTGTTGAATAAACTCGTTCTCCTACCTTTGCACGTCAATGGTCTGATTAATTTCCTTCATCTTTGGCAAGAAGGACTCGCTAGAATTTTTGGACATACATCTCTCATTGTTGACTTATAAATCTAGGCTAAGAGTTTTAGAAAGCTTTGGTCATCATGTCATTTCATATTTGTTTACCTATTTGAACAGGTCATTGACCACTACGCAGCTGAAAACTGAATGAAGAATTATACCCTTTGGTAACTTCCACTAATAGCTTCAGACAGGGCAGAACACATTCCTCCTTTGGAACAGTTTTGAAAAATGTCAGTAAGAGAGAAAGAAAGAAGGTTGTTTCTTAGGAATTCACAATCTATAAAATTGTAACTAAGATTTTTTCCCATGATTACTAATGTCATGGGAATGACAGACTATTCTGAAGGAATACCATGTTTCAATAAAATGCCTTATATCTTTCATTTTGCTCAATATTTTGACTTATCAAAATATTGAACCTTTTAGGCCTTGCTTACTCCTTCCAGACAAAGGTCCTATAAACTAATAAACTATATATCAAATCAACTTTTAATGCACTGAGTTTTTCCTGGATGAATTTGAGTTCTGGAAGACTAACCTGGAAAATACAGCTATAATAGTGTCTGCTATTTTGCTTCACTGACAGCCCACTTAGGGGAGGACTTAGCCTTGCTAAAGCAATATTATTTGGCAAATAATCTGATCAATTTACTTTATATTCTTGGCAATGAAATATTAAGAGCCTACCTCAGTGTTACATCATCTATATAGTGCAGAGTCCTTGGCAGGAGATTAAATTTTGAACCAAATATCCAATTTCGTGGATATAAGAGGTCTTACTAAATGCATTAAATAGATCTTCAGTAGAGTAGTTAATACCAATTAAATGCTAAGCTGTCTGAATCATGAGTTATCCATTCAGGCATGATTTTGTTTTTCCTTCTTTAAATAACTCAGATTTTTTAGAGGCTGGGCCATCCTAATTTACTTTGGCCATTCAGTCTTCAAATTTCCTGTGTTTCAGAAAGCAATGATGAGAAATGCCATGCTGGGTCAGCAGTTTGTGTAAAATGGGATTTTGGACATGTCAGGTACTTTTATATTTGATAACTATGAGGACAAGCACAAGGGATGTTCTTAGTAAAGTTATTTCAAATGAAAATAGTACAAAATTGACAGTTTCAGTCTTGAATCTTTTGAGTGGCATGACAAGAATACTGAATAGCTAGTTGGTTAGAGACTATTGTCAAAACAGTGGAAATAAATAGTTATTTTTCAAAGGGAAGCTGGCTATAGTTGAACTCTTTTGGATAATATATGCTCCTTTATATTAAAGACCCAATGTACTTTTAGACTCAGTCTACTGTCCAAATGTGATTTTTTTTTTTAACATGCTGCTGTTTCACCGTGTTGGCAGTGTAGACCCTTTGAGAGACTGGATTGCCATAGCCTGTCTCCTTTATGTTTACAAGGCCAAGTTCCGTAGCTAAACACTCATGATATAAAACAATTGGTAAGATAATTCTTAAGCACTCAGAGAATACCCATATGCCATGCCTGTTCTACATGTCGTCACATGTTATTCTTTGCAGCCTCAGAGACAGTTCTTCCTCTTTACAGATAAGGAAGTGTACTCCAAGTGGTTATGTGGCATGTCAAAGGTTACACAGTGATGAGGTAACACATCAGGATTGACTCAAGACTTCCAACTTCCCCAGTATTGCCTTTGCTGTCTCCTACCTGCAGAAGAGATGCCAAACAAAAGAGTGAATGGAATTGGCAGAGAGGGAGCTTTAAATAAATGATTGTTACTTGATATTTTTATATAATACTAGAGGCCTGGTGCACAAAATTTGTGCCTCGGGGGAGGGGTCCCTTAGCCCGGCCCTCAGCCTCTTGCAATTAGGGACCACTGGCTCCTAACCGCTCACCTGCCTGCCTGATCACCCCTACCGCCTCTGCCTTGGCCCCCACTGCTGCAGCCTCATCCGGAAGGACGTCCAGAATGACATCCGGAAGGTCGTTCAGCTGTCTGGTCTAATTAGCATATTATATTTTTATTATTATAGATTTTAATTATCAACAAGGGTCTCATGCCAAACATCCTAAAGGAATGTCAAGCTTTCAATATAAACCACGTGAACAAAAAACACCAGGTTCATATTTGAATTCTCTGTCAACTTTGCAAAGGGATCTTTCCTGCCTGCGTAACAGACGGTGGAGAAACTTTGGGTATATGTCCAACATTGGCCCCTCAGGCTAATGCTAGGCTTGAGCATATGGTGCGTGCTGTCACCAGTGCAGCAGAGTTGAGCAGTGTGGACCATCTGGAAGTGAAAACAGATTTGGATTTCCTGGGTGCAATTTGGAGACCTCCCAGCGGGCCGCAGAGCACTGGGACATTTAGACAATGTATAAGCTGCCACCCTTATGTCCTTATTGGTGGAAGTGGGGTATTCCTTTCCCTGCTGAGTGCTAGGGTTGGGTTCCTTACAATATCTCTGATAGATCCTCCCTTCCCCCAACTGGTGGGCTGAGTAACAGCAAACATGACTTAACCTGCAGCCTGGAAGTACCTGAGTGCCTAACCATGTACCTTATATGGACTATACATTAAGCCACCAATCAGCACCTGCCAAATACCCTAAGCCCTTGTTCCTATATGGACCATACATTAAGCCACCAATCAGCGTGCACCCAGTACCCTAAGCCCCCAATTCCTCCCCATTCCACCCCTCAAAAGGAGTGCCCACCTCTGCAGGGGTTGCTGCTCTATCATTGTGAGACAACTCAGCAGGTCTTTCTCCTAATAAAGCCTGTAGTCCTGGTTTTCAGCTCCCGACTGGTCTTTCATTCTTGAGAAAAAGATTTTCTGAGACTTGCACAAGAGGATAAGTGACTTTTATTTGTGTGGAATTATATTTCTGGGTTTCCAAAGCCCCATTTCCATAATCCACTCTTGGAAGAAGTGCAGCTGGGGATTCAGTAGAGCTAGAAGAAAAGCAGGGTCCAGAGTTTCCATTCCATCTTGGAAATGGGTCTGGCTTAGCATCAGGCTGCTTGCAGTCCATTGTCCATTGTGTGGGGAGCAAACGCAGGAGCATGAGAGCACAACCAAGAGCAACCAAGTGGGCCAAGAGGGAAAGAGAATGAACCCTTTTGTTTAGGAGATTAAATAACCCAACCTCCCCCCGACACACACACACACACACACACACACACACACACACACACACACACCCCTACTCTGGCCAGTGATCTGTTCCCAGATTGAAGTACCTTCCCTATTTCACCCAGGCTTTATTAGGCATGTGTGTCTATTCTCTCTCTGTCCAGTCCCTCCCTCCACCTCCGGAGATCCCTGGGGAATAGACCAGTGGCCCCCTGGGGAGTGTTAAACTGCAGCTTCCTGGCAAAGCTGCCCAAGTGACAAGCCTACAATATTTGGCCTTCCCTTTGCTCCTTTCCTGTTATTAATAACTAGGTTAATTACTACAGTGTCGGATGCACTCTGAGGGGGAGGAAAGGAAACATTTCTTTCTATTCCTGATGCATCTAGCATTCCAGCTTGGGCCTGAGGTAGAGCTGTCAGCGGAGTTCTGTTACTGACAAATGCTTGTATGTGATACATGGAAACTAAGAGAAGAGACTGAGCAAGGCCCTAGATCGCAGGGAGTACTTTTATCACCTCTGAGTGATATTGAGAGGAGATTTACAAACATTGTTGAATTCTCAAAGGCACTTGAGTGATCGCTACCTAATCTTTTTAAAGTGGCTTGTAGAAGGATGTCATTTTAATTTCTTTAAAACACAGGGCTTTTGCTTAAATACTATGAAAGACTGAGAGTTGAAGAAGCATCAGATTTTTCTTGAATCCTGTTTGTTTGACCTTTGA